CACTCCACTGAATCTCATGTGTGACTTGGTTTCAGGGGGCTGTATTTTTATTCTCTTTCAGGGCTACATCTACTATTCTTATTTTTGATTTGTGCTATTAATTGTCTCCTACCTTGTATTTCTAAAGGCTCATTAAAATGAAAAAAAAAAAATTATTGAACATATCTCCCTGATACTAATTCCCTTAGTGCTTCCCTGAATAGAAAGAAGAGTAATGAAGTCAAACCATAGATATGCAAAAGAAGAGAACCAGCCAGTGGTAAAAATTTCAGTAACCACATAGTTATGACACCCAGTGAAAACACTGGGTTTACTACCTGAACAATATGGCCATGAGCTGAAACATTCTGGTTTATAATAATGAATACACATGTAAATTAAGCATCAAATAAAGAAAATCTCCTTTTTTATAAAACAAAAAGAATTTCAAATTACACAAATGGAAAAAAAGCATGAGAACAATTTCTAAGTCTGAAAGGAAACTGGAGAAAAAAGGATGCTTCTGACTTAGAAAATGAACAACCAGAGACTGAAATTATAGTCTTATCTGTGATGAAGGCCAGCTTGGCTGCATCCACCATCAGTAACCAGTGCAAAAATAACAATATATAAAGAAATACAGTGGCAATTCCTGTGTGTGTGGCTTTCTCAGGCCTCTCTCAGCATTTTCAGGATGTCCACTCCCATCAGGCCAGACAGGTGCCTTGAAAGCCAGGGCATTAGCAAAGAATTTTGAGGAAGTCCCTTCATGTTTCTGTTTGTACAAAAATCAGAATTGTGTTGTTTGCTTGGGCTGTGCAGGGGAAGGGGTGCTCCCCCAGAGTTTTAAGACCTCAAACCGGCTCCCAGGACGTCATCTCCTAGAAGGAGATGGCATGAGAGAAGGCCAAGTGCAGGGGGACTTGTTTTGAAAGTTGTACAACTTCCCCATATATGGGTCTTTGTGGAAGGAGAAGAGAATGAAGAAGCTCAGCTAAAATGATGCAAGACATTGGCAGCCTCTCTTATTGTCTATGAGGTGTGTTTTACTCTTCTGAATCTGAAAAAAAGAAAAAGAAAAAGAAAAGTGTCAATGCTGCCTTTCCCCCCCCTTCTCCACCCTTCAGGTCTGAGAAGAAAATCTGAGGGACAAAAACAGGGGGGATCAATTACACATTTCAATATCATCATTGACATCTCCTTTGCAACACAACTGTTCCATTCATAAAGGAGAAATCATAGTGGAGAATTTTAAACACTGGTTACTTTGAAAGCCTTTAATAATACTTGTCTTAAACTAACATGTCAAATATTTGGTTCATGCAATATGGATATTAAGACACCTTATTTTGCAATCAGAATGACAATGACTACCAGATTTGGTCAGTTTGCCTCCGGGGTCAACGGGATTGAAAGAAATCAGGTTCACCTAATCCCAATTGTTTCCATAAATTTTTGTTCCTCTATCAGGATCCATAGCTATCTTCAGGCAGATGTTTTACACCTGACTAGAGACTCCCTGAAGGCAGGGAAAATATCTTTTTTATCTTTATAACTCTTCTTGCATGTAGTGCAATGCCTGACACATAGCATGTGCTTAACAAATACTTCCCTAAAAGATTCAAAGCAAGATGAGTTCCAACTGAAATTATTGAGCAAATGGATAAATCACCTGAATTCTCTACTGGGCCTAGAGTGAGGTGGTGCAAGTTTTAACAGGACTCATTAATGGAAATAAACAATATTGGATTTTTTTTTTCACCTGGTCTACTCTATAACATGCAACCCTCAGTGGACTTGGACAAGATTTCTATAAAGCAAGCAAACAAATATTATTATGGTTGCTTCCCCTAAGTGTTCGTGCTCTGTAAATCAGCATGCCTCACGGTGAGAGAGGGCTCCCTCCTGTGCAAGGTTCCAGAGAGAGAGGAGACTTTAAGAGGATAACATCATCATCTCCAGAAATGTTAGGAGTCATTAAAGGACAAGAAAATTTCCCTTTCAACTTTAAAGACAAAGATACTCTCCTAAATAAGACTGAGTTGAAATTAGGTACAAACTAGTCTGGAGATAGGAGAACTCTTTCTGATCTATTGTAATTATGGTCAATTCTCAAATTTTTCAGGGACCATTGATCCAGGCCTCCTGTGGTTCCTCTCTCTTCATTCTGGTCCTATGTGTGTTTACCCTCCATTTGCACCTTCACCCACTTGGGAGAAATAATAGAGAAGAGAAAAACTTCTGGCCAAACACTTCACTCTGATTCTAGCAGGATCAGTGAGAGAAGTTGCCAATTGCCTCACCGGAACTTGCCAGTGACAGAAAGAGGTGAAACAAAAGCAGAAATCAAGGATTAGAAATTTTCCAATGTTTCTGATCATTTCTATGAAGTTTGGGCCAAGTTTGGGAATTGCAAGACAGGAGTGACTCCTTAACGCTTTGGCCCTGTCATTATCAGTCTGGGGTCATATGTAATGAGACTCCTTTTATTTTTAGATGGTTATTATAGTTCCAATCACCTCAAGAGATGTGCCCAGGCCCTCACATGTAAAACTCAATTTTGTTATGACAATACAAGATTAGGTTTAACTTTTTATTAAATGACTGATTGGTTGGAAAGAAGCTAGAGATAGCTGATATGGATCACTGTTACACCCAGTAACCTCCAGTTAGCCAAAAGCAAAAGTGATACACTTTCTGTGTCACGCAGTCTGGGTTTGTAGAGGCCCGCTGTCCTGACTGCTGCATCTCAGAGATGGAAGAGGTCCATCCAGGTGTCAGTAGAACCCAAAAGCCCTTGAGAGGAGGTCTTCCTCCCTTGGCAGTCACTGCTTCCAAAGGATATGCGGAGTGACTGGCTATGAATCTCTACCCTCCCCTCCTCAGCCTTCTGGCCAAGGGATTAGGAAAGGAGTTGGTCAAGGAGTAGCAAAAAGGAGTTAATAAAGGTGGCTTGTATATTTAAGCTGTGCCTTGTTCACTGTCACTAAATACAACCAACAGGAAAAGAGGAAGAGACAGATACTCCGTGGCTGGGTCGGTGACCCAAGTGACTGTCCCCAGACTTCCCAAACGCATGCTCTCTCTAAATACGAATCTCTTAGGGCATAAATAGTGTCTATTTATAGGAAGATGTTCCATCCCAGACTGTAGACCCCTTGAGGGCAATGAAAATACCTTATTTATCTTTATAACTACTCTTTAAAAAAAAATAAAAGTTTTATGGGAGTATAGTTGATTTATAATTTTGTATTACTTTCTGTTGCACAGAACAGTGAGTTATACATATACTATATTTACTATTTTTTCTTAGATTCTTTCCCCCTATAGGTCATTACAGAGTTTTGAGTAGAGTTCCCTGTGCTATGGAGTATAACTCCTCTTGAATGTAGTACAATGCCTGACACACAGCATATACTCAGCAAATTATAGTTGTTTCATCGAAAGGCAGAGAATTAAGTATGAGGTGGATGGGACAGACAAAGGTGTAATGATGAATAGGAAATCTCTCTCCAATCCTTTTCTAATCCTGACTTTCAAAGTGCGAAATAAAAATGAAATCGTAAGTACACTGATTTTTATAATATATTCAATAGCAAATTATGATATGTCAAAAATGTGTACTCCCTATGAAGAAATAGCCCACTGTGCATGACACTCTGTGGGACTAAGCTCCCAGAGAAACAGCACCTGCTTTCCAAGTGGCTTTGACATGACTTGTAAATCTCCTCACTTGACTCTTTCTCTCCTGAGCTTCAAATGTCACAGACTTGCTTTGCTGTGTTTCAGTTTTGTGTATTTGTTTTCAATGCAAACTAAAACTGCATAAGCATTTAAAACTAAAACTGGGTAAAACTACAAAGTCATAAAAATGAGGACCTAAAACCAGAGTGTGAGAAATCACTCTGTATTGATCTGATTTACATGACTATTTTTGCTTTGAATTCCATTGATTGTAAATTGATGTTGGTTTTTTGGAGGCCACAGAAAGTAGTTAAACTCACTCATCTTTTTAAGAGTGATTGATGAACTGAAATGGAAAATATCTTCACTCGATTTGGGAAAATTCAAGAAAATATCTAATTAAGTGCCACCTCCTCACCTGCCCCTAGGTGAAACCTCTCACATTTCATAGCGAGGCAGCCGTGCAGACTCTGAAGCCTGAAGTGTGTGGTTGTATGAATTCACAGAAAGGTATTTACTCCAAGGGAATGAACAATAAAGAATGTTTCAGCAACTTCATTTAAAGAAATAGAAGATGGAGATGTACAACAATGTGGCTCTATTCCTCCCTTCCCAGGGTGCTCCTAGAGGAAAGTAGAGATGCTACAAAAAATCATTTGGTTTAAAGACAGCTGTTTTAAGAGGCTTAAAGTTCAGATTTGATTTGACTCCATATATGTGTTTAGCAGTCATACTGCTTATTCCTAGATCACAAGCTGAATATCTACAAAGCAGGCCTCATAGAATCTGGCACTGGCTTTGAAAAACATCTGTAAATACTTTCATTTTTCACTTTTTGGGGGCTTGATTTTTTTATTGCCTGATTCAACTATCACCCAAGCTCAAAAGCAAGCTGACTTGGCTAAGCACAGAGCTGGAATTAAATCAGATTTTCAAGTCCCAGGAATCCTTCTAGAGCTGCCTCTCCATGAAGTCAACTTTCTACAAAAATAATAAAGTGATACTGTAAGCAATAGAAAGATCGGTAAAAGGCTAAATAGAAAAAAAAAACCCTGCAAAAGAATAAATGTGGTAAAACTAAACTCAATTTAAAATATCTAGCAGAATTTCTGTGGGGCTTATAAGCAGGTCCTGGTTTTGCTTCTTAATAATGAGGAAATACTAAAAACAAATGAACATTGCTTAGAGATAGGCATTGTTTTCAATCTTCTAGGTTGTAAGTGCAAGACAGCTATTTTACTGTTTTTTTTTCTTTTTTTTTTGGCTGCAGCATGTGGGATCCTAGTTCCCTGACCAGGGATCAAACCCAAGCCCCCTGCATTGGACATGCAAAGTCTCAACCACTGGACTTCCAGGAAAGTCCCAAGACAGCTATTTTAAATGGTTACCACCAAAACCCCAAAGTATACATGCATGCTTTCTCCTTGCCCCAAATGATAGAGGATATGATTATTCTAAATAATTCTAACGAATTATTCTAAATTAATTTTACTACATATAATACCAAGGCTATAGCTCTCCTAAGACGGGTAGATGAATGGATGAATGGATGGATGATGGATGGAGAGAATAAACAGATGATAAAGTAAATTTGTAGGAATATAATTTCCTGAAACCTTACCTATGCCATCATTTCCTCATTTCCTAACATTCACCCATTTAACCCAAATATACAGAGTAAGTACAAAGGATAGTTCTTAGGTTCAACCCTTGGGACTTTTCCTTTCTTTTGATCCTTGGCATCTGTGCTATCACTGAGAATAATGATAATGTTAACTTTTATCCTTTTACTTTGCTGTTTTCTTTCTTCCTTTATATAGCATGGCTCTTCTTTCCAAACTTAAACTATGTGAATAACTGCCTCTTGTTCTTCTGTCCCATATTGTCCAAGGTATTTTACTGCCATTCTTCTCTGTACTAAGGACCTAGTACTTCAGCACTAAAGGAAACCAAGTACTCAGCTCACCAAGTGCCCCGGGACCTGACCCCCATTAAGAGGTAAGTAAAAGTCAGGCATCGACATCTCATATCACTCCTCTGGGTCAGGGAAGGGCAGAGTTGTCTGCACCCAAGTTTTGTTTCTGATCAGCTTTTGAATCTTCTATTTTTGAAGCCAACAAGAAACCAGAGAATAAGGAAGTCCTTCAGAGAAAGTTAAATGAGGCTGGGATTTTAGGCCTGAAATATTCTGACTGCTTTTTATGTTTTCTCTTATTTTATTAGTTCAGGGAAAAGAAAGATTCAAAACGAATGAAAGGAAAAAAAAACCAAACATTTATTCTCATGTTTTCACTGTGGCTCCAGGCTATAGAATAAAAATAGCATATATTGTAGATAACTAATACTTATGAAATACAGTCATCATCACTTGGAGATCAGGCTGCCCTTTGGTTTAAAACACTAAGAATAAACACAAAGAGAAAGCTTCGATACTTGCTTGACGTTGCATTTTTAACAGCTCTTCTAGCTTGTGGGTGTCTAGAAAAAAAACGACATAACAAGGGAGACATAGCTTGCTCCTGGCTTTGGCACATATTTCAAAAGCAGCTGTTTATTTTTTTTAAAAAAATTTATAATGTTAATAGAGTTTCTTTTGACAAATGTATTGTTGCTTGTGTTTCTCCAATCACTTGCAAAGAATCTGACAGAATATAATTTTTCTAGGGGGAAAACAGATAAATATTTATTTCATGAATACTAAAAAGTTATTTTTAATCCTGAACATCAATAAAAGAAAAAAAAAAGACAAATCACATTTCCCCAGTAGTTCCAAAATTGTAATCTTCTCTGTCAAACCAGGTTCCTTGAAAAATTCAATGGTACATTAAGAGTGTAACGAAATGTCTAGAAGATAGAGTGAAACAATGAAAGCTTATATACCAATAATTGCTAGGGAAAAGTTGTTTAAAAAGATTAATTTCATCATTAACAGAGAGTACATAATATACTTTTATGTGACATTTCTACTATGTAGTTATTTGCTAAGAGACTGAAATCTAAATGGCTATCTGAAAAGCATGAATTGACTCTCAAGTCAATTTACTTGACTCTCAAGTAAAGTTTTCTTTACTATAACACAATTTAACTATTGTAATTGTGCCAATTAACACTGTATTATACATATATATATACACACACACACATATATTCACTTACTGTATACATATACACAATCCACATATATGTATATTGTATATATGTATATATATACACACAAATTCAGTTGCTGTTTGATACTACAAATGTGAACTTCAATAATACAAAACTTACAGGAGTAAGTAATAGTTTAATGTCACTTGTTCCTTTATAATCCATCATGAGGATATCTATTATATACCCTCCTTACAAAGCACATTCACTGAACCTAAAACTATATTAAAAACACATTGGTTTGAAATGGATGCTTGTAACCAAAAGAGCTAACTGTTCTGATTCACTGTGACCGTCTATGCTAAAGCCATGTGGATGTCACAGGTTTTATACTCCCACGCTTTCAAGTGTATCATCCTCAGTAAAAAGGAACAAAGAGATTTTTTTTTCTTTTAAATTTCACCCTATTTGACCACTTCCAACCCACATACAATGGATTGGTTAATAGTTTTCCCCAAAATCCATCCAAAAAATTATACTGGGTTTTGGCATCACTGCACTCACAAAACTCTTATTCTTGGGACAACCTATAGCAAGGTTTCTAAAATTAATTAGAAACTGGCACTGAAGTTTATCAGTGAAAAACTGTAAGTAACAAAACCTTTCAGGATATAATTAGGGTATCCTATCTAGATGCATAAAAATAATAAGCATCTAAAAATAATAATGAAATTCTCTCTTTCATTTATCAGCTTTTCGTTGTTTTCCTTTGACAGGGACATTGCAGTAGAGGATTAAGACATTCGGGTTATCACACAACTTGAGAAAATAATGCATAAAATGTTTAGAAAAAGCACATATTTCATGCCTCTTTCTTGCTAAACCACAGCATTTACTTACCGCTGATGCTCCATATCTTGATACATACAAATATATTAAGTAAATGGGTCACAAGAGTTTTCATGGACAAATGGCTAAGGGAAATAGGATATGAATCAGAACATGTGTTGTTAACAATGATTTATCTTAGTTGGGACCAAGGGTACTCCAGATGTTTGGCCCTGTAAACTGATGGAAAATAAGGATCCTAGATTCTCATGTGGAAGGAAATTCCTTCATTGAAGAAACAGAGGAGAGGACAAGATGGCAGCGGAGTGGGTGGACGTGGAGTACATCTCTCCCCATGGATACATCAGGAATACACCTTCAGACACAGAAGTGCATGCAGAACACCAGCTGAGAGTGGACNAGCTATAAAAAAGAATGCATATGAGTCAGTTCTGATGAGGTGGATGAACCTAGAACTTATAGAGAGTAAAGTGAGTCAGAAAGAGAAAGATAAATATCATATTCTAATGCACATATATGGAATCTAGAAAAAATGGTACTGAAGAATGTATTTACAGTGCAGCAATGGAGAAACAGACATAGAGAATAGACTTATGGACATGGGGAGAGGGGTTATGGAAAGAGTAACATGGAAACTTACATTACCATATGTAAAATAGATAGCCAATGGGAATTTGCTATACGGCTCAGGAAACTCAAACAGGGGCTCTGTATCAATCTAGAGGGATGGGATAGGGACAGAGGTGGAAGGCAGGTTCAAATGGGAGGGGATATATGTATACCTATTGCTGATTCATGTTGAGATCTGACAGTAAGCAACAAAATTCTATAAAGCAATTATCCTTCAATAAAAAAATAAATTAAAAAGGAAAAAAAAGGAAACTAGAAAACAGAAAAAAGAAATAAACCTTTTGTCAATCCATAGAAGGCTACAATGAAACTAACAAATGTTATCCCCTGAGAAGAAAGAAGTAAAAAAACCCAAAGGATTGGATTAACTATTTGTAGAAACTGCCTCCCAGCACTAGTGTTGGCTTTAGTAGCATGATCAATGGTGAAGTGTATTGTAAATCATTCATTGTTAAAACCAGTTTAGCGCTACAGTCTCACAGGTTTAATTTTTAAAGTAAATTAGAAAGGATTCAAAGTTATTGTTATAGTAGCACCATCTTGCCTATGAGAGAAAAGGACAGGGTACCAGCTAGTGTTCCCAGAACTGTTCATCATCTTTGGCCTATTTTACCCACCAAGGTTCATGATCTGGGCATACTTTGGGGAGTATGCAGAGTTTATGATAATATGTTAGGCTTATATGATAGGAAAAGAAAATAAGAAAAACAAGTTTGAGGATCTCTGCCTTAAAATCAAAGAAGTTTCATCAAGACCAAGGTCCAGGCAAGCAAAGACTGAAAATTAACAGTGTGAATCTATCCCAAATATCAACATATCTGATACTGAATGTGATATCCAAAAGGAGACTAGATGTAAAATGGGTGCCATGGAGGGCTGCTTCTTGCACTGTCAGGATCTAAGGTACACAAGATCATTTCTATTCACTTTTCTTGGCACACCCATCCCAAAGGTAGAAACAGAAGTTTCAAGACATTCTACTTTCAAGTCACAATGCATCAACTAACTTCCCCTATACCCCTCATTCTCAGCTTACCAGGCAACTTTCTGGTCTGAACTGACCTCCTAAGTAGCTTTTCCTTCAGAAGAAAGAAACCACTGACTGGCCAGTAATGTGAGCATTCCAGTGTACATGAAGGATACATTTTATAGTAAAATGACAATCAAAACAACACATTGGTCACAAGTATTCATTTCAGCATCAACAAGTCTTCTACAGCAGAATCCACCTTTCATTTACTGTCAATATGAAATTTATTTGTCTGACAATGTCAAAAGTCAGATATCCATATACATGTGGATCTGAAAATTCTAATCTCTTCCATAGACCCATTTCTCTATCTGGATGCCAATACTATACTGCCTTGATTATTACAGATTTATAAGTCTTGAAAGCAGGCTTACCTGTTTAGTCTTCCAATTTTTTCCTTCTTTTCCCAAGCTGCTTTGTCTATTCTGAGTACTTAGCATTTACACATAAATTTTAAAACGAGCTTGTCAATTTCTACCCCAAAATCCTGCTAGGATTTTAATGGATGGCATGGAATCTATAGTTCAATTTAGAAAGAACTTAAATTTCAACTATCTCTGGAAAATACTCAGAAACTAAATAATATACTACTAAGTAGCCCTTAGATCAATGTAGAAGTAAAAAAAAAAAATTAGAAAATATTTTGAATGAAATGGGAATAAAAATGCAACGTATCAAAGTTTATGGCATTTCACTAAATAAAACAATATTTAGAAGGAAGATACAGCATAATGCTTAGTGTTTATAGTCTTGCTACATGTTTCCTGTTTGTCTCATCTATTCTTTGTTCTCATTTTTTTTCTACCTTCTTTTGGATTAGCTGTTCTCATGATTTCATTTTATCTCTTTTGGTTTATTAGTTATATGTCATTATTTTGTTATTTTAGTAATTGTTTTAGAGTTTATGGTAAATGCTCTTAATTTATCTCAATCTACTTTCAAATGATATTGTATCAGTTCATATATAATATCAGAATTTTACAATAGCATATATTTCTCCTCTCCAGATTTTTATGCTATTTTTGTCATATATTTGTTTTATATATACTATAACCCAAAATATATTTTGTTCAAATAGTCAATTATTTAGTCAAGATATTTAAATGATAAGAAAAAATATTGCATATTTATCCATTTAGTCACCAGTTTTAGTGCTCCTCAATACTTTGATCCATCTGGCATTAGCCATCCTTCTGTCATTCTTTAATATTTCTTGTAGTGTAGGTCTACCAGAAATGAATTCTTTCAGTTTTTGTATCTCAAAGATATTTTTGCTGGGTATAAAATTTTTGATCAAAATTTTTCTCTTAGCCCTTTAAGGATGTTTCTTTACTGTCTTCTCATTTGCATTGCTTCTGATGAGATACCTACTGTTATCCTTATCTTTGTTCATCTCTATATATGTATCTTCTTTTCTCCAGCTGATTTAAAATTTTTTCTATTCATTACTGGTTTGGAGTAATTTGATTATGATAAGCTTTTGGTGTAATTTTCTTCATAATCCTTGTGCTTGTGTTTTATTGTGATTCTTAAGCTAATGGACTTATCATCCAGCAAAATTTTAGCCATGACTTCATCAAATATTCTTTCCTCCTTTCTCTCTTCTTTACTTTAGGACTCTAATTACACATACATTAGGCTGCTTGAAGGTGCATTACAACTCACTGAGGCTCTTTACAATTTCTATGCTTGCTTTCTGTGTTTCATTTCAGATAATTTCTATTGCTAGTTCTCACTACTCTTCTACAATGTCTAATCATACCCAGTGTATTTGTTATTAATCTCATCCAATGTTATTTAGTTAATACCATCCAGTATATTTTTCATATCAGACCTCATAGTTCTCGCCTCTAGACATTTGATTCAATCTTTTTTATAT